CTTTTTTCAAAGCCCTTGACCTTTGGAATTTTCATTTGGCCTTAAATTCATTTTTGCCTTTTTTTTGCTTTATTTTTGCTTATGACTTTTAGAAAGATTTTTAATAAATAATTTTACGATTTTTTAAAATAAACTATTGATGTGACACTTTTCAAATGGCCTACAATGAACTTTCAAACGAAGTAGTTCCAGAATAAGAATGGTTTCTAACACCTTTCTTCAGAATGTATTAGTCAGAATGCTTCTAGCGGTAATTATGTTTGTCTCTGCGCAACATGTAAGAACTACTTTCTCTGTTTTTGTTGCTTTTCAAGATCGAATTCTTATGCGAAAAGTCCAAGAAAAATATTCTTCTTCTTTTCTTTTTTTTTAAAGGAGAGAGAGACAGGAATGGAAAGAGGACATCACATCAGAGATCTTTTTTTTTAAAAAGGAAGAAAAAGCATTTATGTTTGTAATTTCGGTATTGTTTGAAAAACCTATCTACAGCAATTAAACAAACATCTAAATGTCAAATCTAAAGGATAGAAAAAAAGCTTCCAGAAACAATATTTAGAACTACGCAGCATATTGAATTTTGGGTGTCAACTAACATGGTGTTAAATAACATCGAAACTAAGAACGGTGCATTTTTTATATTTTTTATTACGTTTTGGAAACTCAGCCATCTATTATGAGTCTGAAATCAGTTTTTTTATATTAAGGGGTTTTTTTACTATTAGTCATTTACTATGAGTATGAAAGAACTTTTATTTATTGTAATCACATTATAAAATAATATAGAACAATGAAGTTCACAAGGAAAGAAATGTTGTCGCGCATACGTAGAAGTAAGCTCGAGTGTTGTTGCTAAATTTTGTGAAGTTCCATAATATTCAATTTTTTAATGTTTTGTAAGTTTCTTAATGCTCAATATTAATTGTGACGATTTTGCTGCATTAGATCTAAATGAACAACGTGGCAATAGTCGATTACGCATGCAAATGAATAGATTAAATCAATTGGTAAAACTTGATCGCATTGCATTTCAGTATAATTCGAAATTGAATATAGCTTGCATCCAGTTGTGGTTGTTGAAAGTATGAATAAAGTTTGCACAAAATTCAAGGCATTAAAATTCAAGAATGAAGCACCTGGGTTGTGTTGTTGGAATGGTAAAGTTAAACTGCCACCATTGAAGGCACCACTTGAGCCATTGTTCTCATTGGTCGCTGGTACTACAACACAATCGAAGAATTTTTTTTTTGAATAACATACGAAATTATAACACATGTTTTCAAATGACTTCGTTTGGTGCAATGAATATAATAACTCAGAATTATATGCCAACATCCAAGATGCAAGGACAAACAGGGCCGGCCCGAGGGGGGTGCGAACGGTGCGACCGCACAAGGCCCCGCGCTTCTGAAAGGCCCCGCGCCTCTGAAAGGCCGATGAGGGATTTTGGAAAATTCATTAATTTTTTTCCCCTTTTTTAAAAATTATTTCAACCAACTTTTATGTAGAAAAAAGACATAAAAGATTAAGAAATTTTTCTAAAAAGAAATATATTGCAAATTTTTCTGTTTTGAAAATTTCCTTCGAAGATCTGTTAAAAAAGTAATTGGTGGATCTAGTGGTTAAGAATCCAACAATCCCCTTTGCTACCACATGTTTCCGATTCTTGGGCAGAATAAAAGGTAAAAAGTGATGACATTGTTCAGACCTAAACCAGGTTCGATTGCTCCAGGCATCATATGGTCACTCTCTTTTCGGTGCGGGAGGAGGGGGCACCCCAAAGTGGATGTCCGTCATTTGAAGATAAATTGCATGTGATAACATTCAATACATTCCTTGTTCCCGAGACTATTACTTTCAGGTTATACAGGGGGTAATGCTTGTGTGCGGGTCCACATCTGTTCCCCTAATGGCCAGCAGATAGTCTTTCCCAGGGCAGCTTACAGAAACACCTCTAGAGGAATGCTTTTTCTGCTTATCTAGTTCTAAATTGAACACATATGTTCCTCTTGTATTCAGCAGGACTGCTAAGTGATGATGAAGCATATATCTCACAAGAGTTTCTCGCTTTTCTTGTCAAAAGTGTGGTTTTCCAGCATCTATGAATTCATCGTAGGTATTTGTTGTTACATATATTCCTTAGAGTTTAATCAATAGTAGTGAATTTGAATATTGGATTGTGTGAAACACGACGGGTAACCCAAGGAGTTTTCTCAGAAGCTTAATTTTCCATTGAACAGTTCGTTCGCATTCGGAGTATCATCCGTACAGCAAAATAAAATATTCTGCATTTGTTCTTGCAAACAAATTTCAAGTATGCCAATTTTTGTGTCTTTTTTATAGTTATTTATTAAATAAACTTTTCTTTTATATTTCCAAAAAGAAAATTTTAATATTATAACAGGTTATCAATTTATAAAACAATGTAGTTCCCCTTTTGTCTTTGTATTTCAATATTTTTGCTATGTGTTATTATCAGGAATGGCGCTAGAGTTTGCCCGACGGGGGGGGAGGTCTCCCCGACACGGTCCCCCCTTGCTGTACGGGGGACGAGTGTAATGAAATTGGTCTCAAATTTTCGCCAGATTATTATTTATCAACTGCAGTTGAATACCCCGAACAAAAATTTTCCTGCTGCCTTTTATATACAGGGTGATTATAATTAAAGTTGCACTTTCAAAAGGCTGTCAAAAAGAAGCACTGGTCAGAATGACCTGATATTTCTTCTGAGTATACGTGAAGCAATGGGATTTTTTTTTTTTGAGAAAGAAAAAAAGTTCAAAAGTTGACCGAAAGATGGTGCTATACTCGTGATAAGATGCTGAAACACGATTGCTTTAAAAGATATGCTAATTTTAAGATGCTAATTAAAAGACGTGACATGCGCACAGCACATTACACTTGTGATAAAAAGGCGGGGAACATGCAGTTCCTGTTATTCTGCGTCTGAGAAGGTAGGCATGACTCTATCATTGAAGGATCGGGCTCTGCTTGTGAAGCTTTTTTACAAGAACGGTGATTGTGCGGCAATTGCATTGAAGAAATTCCGGACATTAAAGGGTTTAAGAAGCGACTTTGGTCCGATGACTACATTCAGTCTGAAGAAGATTTTTGATAAATTCGAAGAGTCGGGTTCATTTGACGTGAAATGTGGCAGAGCGAGGAAAGCAATTGCTTCGACGTCAGTGGAGGATGTGGCTACAGCAATGCAGGAAGTGACAAGCATTGCTTTGGGAACGTGCAGTGCACGGAGAATTTCCCGAACTTTAGACATGCCTGTCAGCACAGTTCGTAAAATTTTATGAAACATCCTGCAATGCTATCCATTCAAATTTACGCATGTTCAGAAGTTGGTTCCTGCTGACCTGCCAAAACGAGAAGCTTTCGCCCTGCAATTTCTTGCTCAAATGGAAGTGGACAATGCATGCCATGGAAAATTTTGTGGACAGACGAAGCCCATTTCCATCTCCAAGATTCTGTCAATACTCAAAATTCCAGAATATGGGCAAGAGAGAATCCGTTCCAAATGCAAACATCGCCTCTTCATTCTCAAAAGGTCACTGTGTGGTGCGGATTTACGGCAGCATTTATCGGTGGCCTTTTCTTTTTCGAGGAGATTGGTCCTTCGGGTCCTGTAATCTCTACAGTCAATTTGACACGCTATGAATCTCTTTTGCGCAACCAGTTCATTCCAGCACTGCAACAGCACGGATGTGTGAATAGCACAATTTTTATGCAAAATGGCGCTCCTCCACACATTGCAACACCAGTGAAGCAGCTGTTGAATCTGCATTTTGGAAATGACAGAATTATCAGTCGCCATTTCCCAACAGCCTGGCCGCCACGATCACCTGACCTGAACCCTTGCGACTTCTGGCTGTGGGGTTACCTAAAAGATGTTGTGTACGGGGGTCCGATTGCAAACTCAGCTCAGTTGAAAAACAGCATTACGCAACACATTCACAATATCACCACTGAAAGACTCCGATTTGTGGAACATACTGTTTTGCGCTTCCAGCTCATAGAAAACTGTGGACAGCATAACCAACATTTCTTAAGCAAGTCGAAGCCGACTTCCTTTTGTTGATGGTTTCATCAGTTTTTTGCTTTTTGTACGGTTTTTGGCCTAGGGACAATTAAAAACCGATTTCATTTTTGCTTTTTCTACGTTTTTGGCCTCGGGACAAGTAAAAACCGATTTTTCCTATCCGCTGTGGCACCACCTTGTAGTGGTGGATGGGCTTTGAACAAAGAATATGCCACAACAACATGTCACGTCTTTTAATTAGAATATCTTTTAAAGCAATAGTTTTTTTTAGCATCTTATCACGAATACAGCGCCATCTATCGGTCAACTTTTGAATTATTTTTTTCTTTCGCAAAACAAATTCCCATTGCTTCACGTATACTCAGAAGAAATATCAGGTCATTCTGACCAGTGGTTCTTTTTTTACAGCCTTTTGAAAGTACAACTTTAATTATAATCACCCTGTATATAGATATCCAATTTTAAATAAATGCAATAATTTATATCAAACTTTCAATTGTATTAATTTAATCTATATATGTATATTCTGAAATCTAGCAATAGCAAAGCATTGCCGAATTCAGCTAGTTAAATCTAAAATGCGGAAAATTGTGGAGAAATTCGAGAATTTCGGGGGGTGGGGTACATCCTCGATTTTTGAGTTATCATTTTCACAAACAAAAGGGTAGACAAACAGTCTTTCCACATTTTATCCAAAATTTAACACAATTCTACATTTTTCATGTTGAGACCACATACCAAATTTTAGCCATGTATTTCCATTTTTGAGTTAACGTGTTCTCATACACCTGGGCAGACAGTCATAATTCCAAAAATATGTTTTTCGGTTTATGGGATGTAATGATTTTTTTTTAAATCTCGAGACAGAAGTTCCTGAATAAGCAGCTTTTTTTTTTTTTTTTTTTTTTTGTCTAAGTACACTTATTAGCAGATGCAGTGTAGTGAAAAATAAACTTTCCCACACCGGGAATTGATATTGAACCCGGGCCTCCTGGGTGAGAGCCAGGTATCCTAACCACTAGACCATGTGGGACTGCACCGTTTGTTCATTTCAAAACAGATAAATTTCTATTTGTTTCTGCTGTACTGGTCTCTAAATTAAATTAAAATTAATAAGACTTAAAAATGAATGTTTTTTTTTGTCTTGCGGCGGTGCAGCTAACATTTAACCGAAAAATCTGAAACGATATTTCCTAATGGAATGAAAATGCAGAAACTCATATTTATTACAGATAAATATTATTAAAACATATTTATAAATATGAAATGCTTACTTGTTAACTTTTAAGGAGATAAAGCTGAATAATGCTTTTCTTAACTCCAAGTTTATCTCAAATAAATTTCTAATATGTCAGGAAACGAACGACACAACTCCCACTTTGATTTCTAAACGAAAAGCGCAAGCGCAAATAATAAAAACAGCTGTTTCTGGAATTACTGTTTACAGATATGTGCAGGATTCCGTAATACATATTTATTACATGTGAAAATAAAAATTACAGTTATGTATGTCGTCGATACCTCTTTAGGAAGTATTGAAACGATGAAAATAACAGTAATTAATTCAACTGGAGCCTACTGGGTCGTAGATGTTTTGCCAGAATTTACCATAGATAAATTAAAATTAATGGCATTAAGTCACTTTTTTAATCCTCTAGATAGTATAAAAGTCTCCGATAGGTACAAATTAATTCTTGTGTCTCAGAATCGACCTCTACCAGACGAAAGCACTATTCGAGATGAAGAAATTCGAGAAAATGGTAAGACGTCATTATTGTTGTATATGGACAGTTTTGATTTCTGTGAAAAAATCTTATTATGTGTTTACCTATTAACATATAATGCCTATAGTTACACATGCAACTATTTATAGATGAGCTGCTGTTGTTGAAAAGAAGACACTTAATAGTACCAATGGGGGAATCTCAAGAAGAGGTAATGTGCCCATGATGTTTTATCGTACAATATTTACCGAGTTTTCTAATATTCTCTTCAGTTTTAGTAGTAGTTAAAACAAAAAAAGAGTGTATTGTTTTGGTGTATAACAGTATTTTCAATAATGTTTGCTGAATTATAATTTTGTACTTATGATATCTTAATTTTGAAGTATTTATGGTGTATGTTTATTCTGGATGTATTCTATTTTATCATGTTACTGTAAAATTAGTGTTATTTTAAAGTAAACTGCTAAAATTGTTCTTTTCCTCTGGCTTCTCTAAAAATTGTATTGAGTATTTCATTTTGATTCACATTTTTATTATTTTAATAATGAAGGAAATTCTTTAAAACTATTTCGAATCAGATTTTGTATAGAAACCATAATTCTTAAAATAAACACTGTACTAGAAAGTAAAGAGAAAAATTTATCATAATTATTTTTTTTTAAATTTATTCTATGTTACTCATATTCTTTCTCATTTATATTTGTTTTGATTTAGGAAAATCTTAAAAATTCCTTTTGCTGAATGAGACAAAATTTGTTTACTTAAAATAATATTTTATTTATTAGTTTTATATTGATAAAATTTGAGTTTTTGACTATTTGAGATATTAAAATTATCCTATAAAATAATATTGTTATTATAAGGTTTCAGTTTTAAAAATACTGTATTTTATTTCATTCTAACATGGATCTTTTTTTAATACAGCCTTTTTCCATTTAGCATTCCCCCTCTATTTTGATTGTTTATTTGTGGATTTTTTTAATATAAATGGTGTAGTCTAATCAGCATTTACTAATTATTTACCTAGTAGAGAAACTGAATCGCCTGAGATAATATAAGTTAGTGTTTATCTTCGTATGTATTAAGTTAGGATAAGAGTTCTTGATACATTTCTACGCCAACAATATTGGTGTCTAGAATTTATAATTCCCCCCTTCTAAATGCTTTTTATTTTAATCACTTTCCATATCTAATTTCACTTTAACCTTACAATTCCATGCATTCCTCTATCATGGATGTATACTAGTTTTTTGTTGAGCATTAGAATATTTGCAGACCTGAAATGTGGCAACTACTTTGGCCGTGTGTACTTTTTAATTTTTTAAAGTGCTGACTAACTTAAATTCAGTAAGATCCAATTAAGTGCCCGCATGAACTTCTAGATTTTTTGCTTAATTTTTTTCTTCTTTAAATCGTAACATGTTTACTCAGTAATTTGCCTGTAAGCTAATATATTTAGAACTATAACAGTTGAGAGTGTTAAAGTTTAAAACATTAATTAGATTCTAGATTAATTCGTATGAATTCATAAGTCTACTTTTCTCAGGCTTCAAGAAATAATGAATGCATAGATAATTTGCTCATGTAAAGATAAAACATGGACCTCGGTCAAAATCTCATAATTCAAGTATTTTTTCATGCAAATTAAAAAATTGCTTTGTATATAAAATATGAAAAAAATATTCTACTTTTTAATAATTTTCTTGTTCTCAAAGTCTTTGCATGCAGCCAATCGGCTTATTCCCAGTTCCTATGTATGCACCCATTCAGTCTTTAAGAGCAGAATAACATAAGTGTGAAAGCAATATGACTATAATGAATAAAAATTGAAGTTTGCAATTAAATAAACTAGCATTCGTTTTATAATTAGAGAAGATTGCTGGTATTTTAGAAGGAAATCTAAGTAAGATGTTACGAGATAAGTGGTTCATATGTTAGGTGGAGTTCAAAAAAAAAAAATTAAAATAAAGCAACATATTGGGAATAATAAAATGTTATCATTCTACAATACTTGCAGAAAAATTTTTATTTGTTATGAATATTGATTTTAATAATCTTATAGTATTATACTGAAATTTATTCTTTGTGGCAGGAAATTAAATGTTTAGAATAATGATATATTTTCTCTGGTTTAGAAAGAGGAAAAATGTCGCGGCCCTACTGAAGCTGAGATACAGAAGGAAACTAGTGGCATACATCCCAAGAATTTAGATGCAGTAGTTGAAAATCCTTCAGTGCCTGTTGATGTATGTTGCCTTTAAGTATTTATAGTTTCAGTTTATGATATTTTTAATTTAAGTTTAACTTAAGATTTTTTTTTTTTTTTAGTTTCACACTGAGCTTCGAAAAATCCTTGTCTCTCTTGTGAAAGTATCTGAAAAATTGCTGCGATATCATCCTGAAGTTGTGGCATTATTCAAAGAGATGGCAGAAGGTAGGAAATGGGGATTTAAATTTCATAATTTCTCTTAATATTATTCACTAGCTGATATGCCCAACATTGCTTGGGATGAAAATATTTTCATGTATTTTATTTATAAAAAAAATGAGTATTTAATTAATTGTCACAAAGCCTTATGTTTCAGTATTTGTGAGTAAAATTTGAGTATTATAAGAAGGTTACAGTTATCACATACCAAATCAGCCTTTGATAGCTAAGTAGGGGAGCATCATATACAAGAAAGTAAAAATGTATTTAACATTACCATTCAACAGAATGCCTGTGTGCATATAAATAATGGCATTTTTTAAAATTATCTATAATATTTCAAGTAAAAAATACTTTTGTATAGAATATTATGATACACAAATTCCTCTTATCATCTGTAACTGTATTTTTAATTAAAATCATCATATCAGATGCACCAAACAATTTTTGAGTTCCAGATCTTCTCGAAAAATTACAGATTGTACCAAACAAACCTTAAATACCACCAAAAACTAATTTTTTCTGCAAATTATTGAAATTTTTTTAAAGAGTTATATAAAATTAAATTACTAATTGCAAGCAGGAACTCAAAGACAGAAAAATAAAAGTATTAAAAATATGTTCAATATTTTCATTCAATAAGGAATGGCAACACTAATGACAAAATTATCTTTTATATATGGAAGCAAATTTTTTAATTCATAAAAAAATTAGCAGTTAGTTGATTATCATGATACCTTCTCTAAAACCTTCCTTATTCTTCCTAGCATTTGTGAAAAAAATTTGAAGAAAATCTGTTCTGTACTTTGAATTTCTATAGCTTACAAACTATATATAAGAATTTCACTTTTAATTATATAGATTTGAAAATACTGACACAACTTTTTTTTGGAAGTTACTTATAGTTTTATTATATTAAGAAAATTAAATATCCTTCAATGTTTATTTTATCTCAAACTTGCTAAACCCAGCTATTGCTAGATTTGAGAATATATATAGATGAAATGAATCTTAATGTGTGTGTATCCATTAACTTGATCACTTGAATTTCTAATGAAATATATTTGCAAAAATTTGTGGTTAGCATGCGTAAATGGTAACAAAGAGCCTGCTATATTATAAGTGCTTTTATATTTGTCCTTGAATATTTGGCATGTAGTTCTCAGTTATTATATTCATTGCACCAAACGAAATCATTTGAAAGCATGTGTTATAATTTCGTATGTTGTTAAAAAAATACTTTGACTATGTTGTAGTACCAGCGGCCAATGAGAACAATGGTTCAATGGTGGCAATTTAACTTATCATTCAAACAACACATCCCAGGTGCTTCATTCTTGAATTTTAATGCCTTGCAATTTTTGCAAACTTTATTCATACTTTCAACAACCACAACTGGATGCAAGCTATATGCAATTTCTGAATTATACTGAAATGCAATAAGACCAAGTTTTACCAATTGATTTAATCGATTCATTTGCATGCGTAATCCATTATTGCCACATTTTTCATTTTGATCAATTTATGACAAAGATTGTCTTAATTCTCTAGTTCTTACTCGACTTGCTTTGTTTCGTGCTTTGTGTTGTGATGATTCAGTAGCAAGTGACTGTGACATGTGTAATCTATTTCCTTCATTTCATTGTGCTGTTTCTTCTTCTGTTTCATTTTGTCTTTCTTCTCCTTTTCTCTTGGCTGTATTTATACGATGACCAATATTTTCTCGTTTTGGCAGCATTTTTATCAACAGCAAATTCACAAATAGGCCTAAAATCTCACCTCTGTTCAGGGTTGCCAGATCAAAATATCAAAATAAAGCCAAACCGCCTTTAAAAAAGGGCCAAATTTGATTAAAACACTAAATTCCCCCTGATTTGTTAT